TTGTTTTATGTATGATAGAAAGAAAGAAAGAAAGAAAGAAAGAAAGAAAGAAAGAAAGAAAGAAAGATATGAGAAGATATAAAATCTCATTGGTTAGCCCAAAAATGTCGAACTCCAGGCAGGCAGAGATTGAATGTCTGCCTGCCTTGAGCTCTGCACGTGTATTGGCAACAACCCAGCAGATGTTGGCTGCTAATGCAAAACCCACAGTAAAAGATCAGATGCAAGGCCTAAAGTATCACGATATTTATCTGCTGTTTTAAAATTGCAAGCAGAATTGCAAAGATATATACGTACTTTCTTTTTGGCACCCATGCTTTATAGCTCTGACTTGGAGAGTTGACCGAGACAGTCAACCTTTTTTGTGTGTGAATGTGTGCGGACTATTAATTTCCAACAAAAAACAAAACACTTTTTTTAAATATCTGCCCAAGCATATGGAAAATGTATATTTTCAATGTAAATAACTGCAACTATATTTTTCAGTGACAATCAGTTATTATTAAGAGTTGGCCTGTTGGGGTTGTTTTTGGACCAAAGCATAGCTGCCACACTTATCTTATCTGAGATTTATAAGCCTATCCAATTTAATATTACATAAATAATTACAAATCATCCGTGAGACCTTGTCAGCTGCTCTGATCCCACAAAATGACTCGACCCGAAACCCCAAAGTACTCAGAAACATTCTTCACAGAATGTTTTCATAGGCACCACTTCAAAGTGGCTGCGGTTTAAAAATATGCTGCTATTTTGGTGTCCACTTGTGTGGGATAAAATTTCCCATCAGTAATAGTAGGACTGTAATAGGACTCCAGAGGAAATGAGAGAGTTAAGAAGGGTGTCCAAGGTGTCTTTTTACTGGTTAGCATGCAGTATGTTGATGAAATAATATTTAGGAGCCTCTCTTTTTTTCTTGAGGTAACTGTGACTAACTGCAATCAAAGTCAGAAAACACAGAAGTTAATGCAAATTCAGAACCCAATGAGTTGTCAGAGCAGATCTTATATTTGATTCAGTATGCTCTTTCTTATTTATTTTTTACATTTATATCTCACCTTTCTTCCAAGGAGCTCAATGTAACATGCATATCCTCACAATAACTCTGAGAGCCTGTGACTAGCCCTCAGTTTTATGGCTGAGCAGGGATTTGAACCCTGCTCTCCCAGGTCCGAGCCCAAACCTCTAACCACTGCACCACCCCGGCTCTCTAATGGAAATTCTTTGAGGCTTTAGTGAACCACCATGCACGAATAACAGACTACTGCTGGCTCACAAGCTATGTGGATCTGTCTAAAGCATTTACTGCCTCATCTTAGTTTTGCGATGTTACATAAATCTATACATTTGCACGCATTGATTGCTGCTGGATTTTACGTAAGAACTCAAAAAAGCCTTATTCAGACATCCTATCACACATTAAGTGGTCCTTGCCTAATGGCAGCCAGACATGCCCTTCAGAGGTCACAATTTCAGTGGTAGTGTAGAGACCTACACACTTGCAACTTGGATGAGTGTAGTCCTCCTCCAAGGAAATTCTGGCCACTTGCTTGTGTAGAGGTGGCCAACTTGTGCACATCTGTTCAATGGGCCCCTTCACATTGCCACCAAATTCATGGCCAGTGAGTGACTAGTGGGTGTTGCAGTGGTTGGGTTGTGGCTAACAGGTGAATTCTCATTACCTCCTCACATGTTAATGATGTGGGGCAGGGGGTTTGAAGAGGGCTTATGTAAATATATTTTGGAAATAAACTTCTGTATGTGAGCAAAGGATTTTTGAAATATCTCCCGATAGCAGGTGATGGGTTCTGCAAGAGAAACTGTGCCTGCATGTGCACAACTATCTGCCAAAAACGTATAGAGAGTTTATTTTTCGTGTCCTAAGTACTATGTGTAAATGCAAGGCAGTCATTTTGAAGTAACCACTTAGTTAAGAATAGCTCCTGTGACTTCTATGGAATTATTCTGGATTAAGTGGTTTGTGGATTAGAGCTCTGACCATTTACAACCTCCTCTTAAAATACCCTTTCGCTGTGGCCTTACAAATCAACAAATTGCATTTCTAGCAGGTGCAGCAGAGGCAATGAGCCTTGGTTCCTACCAGAGATCCCATGAGTGCCAGGCACTTAGTATTGAAATGCCAGGCAGTGGCACCTTCTTCCTTCATAGCATTCTATGTCACCTCTGTACCAGCTCAGCAGCACTAGTGGCTTCACTGTGGGATTTAGGAAGATTTGTTTACTTGCTCAATTATGCCCTTGTGTCCCATTTTGGTACCCTTAAAAAACCAGTTCTGGCAACAGACTGATCAAAATCACGTTTAGACTTGCTTTCAGGGATGGATGAACATATTTTTTGGAGACTACACACTAGTATTTATGCAGTCACTTAAATGAAGAAGAAACAAAGGAAGAGCCCCATATTAATCAGTACTTATTTAACTTGCTTTAGCCTACCTGCACTGCTACATTCTTTAATTTATTTTAATTGGTGTGTCTGTGTTTGTGTGTTAGGTTTTTACGGAATTCAATAAGAAGTGAGACTTCTTAGCTCTACTGTAACCTAGAAGGGAAAATTTAGGCAGGCACAATTTCTCCCTCCTCCTACTCTTCTTCTGCAAACCCAAATAGCTGCACCTGCAAGAATCTTTCTTTTCTTTGCCACTTTTAAAGACAAAGAGCATGATTCAATATTATGTTTGACATCTCGAACTGAGGCAAGACTAGTCTGCAAAATATGGGTGACATAGGGAAATACTGCTGTTGTTCATCTGTAAGAAAGCTGATCTCTGTGTCTCTGTCATTTTTGGCATGAGAATCCCTGGCACCTCTCAGAACACAAAGTCTAAGACTTGTGTAAATACCAGGATATGCCTTTTGAAATTCACACTCTCTGCACAAACATTATTGTCCCAAAGAGAAACTTTCCTAAAGCCCAGGTCACATTCTGAACCAACTTCCATTCTTTTCAGATCTGAGTAAAAGCAATAGAATTGCATAACATTGAAACACTATGTTGGTTTTCATTTGTTTGTAGGACGGGGATGAGGGTAACCAGCAGTTGAATCTAGGATTGCCACAGAAATGGAATTGTGCTTGAAATATGTGCTTCCATGGGATAAAACTTGGGTGCTGGCAGAGCAGACCAATCTGTCAGAATCTGAAAACTTAATACAAAACTAGTCCTCCAAGCAGCACTATGGGTTGGTAACATCACCATGCTGGGACTTATCTATGCCCAAGCATGACACACAGAATCTAGCTATGGATTCATATTGGGCCATAGTTGATTTCCTAGATAATGCTGCAAACCCATTTCTTAGGTCAGGAAGAATAAAGACGACAGTAGCTGTTTCATAAGGCAGGTTATTTTGCTTCAAAGCTGTCATGAAATTAAATATAAAAGCTTGGCTTTTGTTTTAGGCTGTGTATATATTGCTTACAGTCACTTTGGCACTGAAAAATGAATTTGTGTCATGTTCAGAGGTATGTGGACTTTACAGAAGCCCTAGGCAATTGGGTGAATGTCTCCTTTAGTAAATAAACTTCACCATTATCCCTCTTTTTAAAGGAAAAGGTCAAAAGCCTGCATTTGAGCCAAAGCAAATTCTAATCATATTCCTTGCTTCCCTTGGGTAAATATTTATGAACAATTAAAATCTGGGTCAGTACAATTCACCCATGACTGATGGAATCTGAAGGTAATATTCACAGGAAAGGAGAAATTGTAAAAGCATTTTGTTACCCTTTATTAAAGTTACAGAGAAGTAGTCTAATTTGGCCCCTATCCTGCCCTCACCCTTGCATATATATTGTGGCTTTGGCTTATCTGTATTTGCAGAAGGAATTTGAAATTACAGAATGTGCATCCCTCTCTGAGAAATTCTACTAGTCTAGAAACTCTAAAACTCCTCAGATGTCCTGGTTTAGAAGGAACCTTTCAATCTGACTTTAGGTGAAATTAGGTGACAAATCTTAATTTATACAATTTGTTTGATAAAAGCCAACACGGTTATTTCAAAGTAGCAGGCCTTAGTGGGTCATCTTCCTGTTTTTGTACAGAAATAAATTCTCTCCCTTCTCCAGCAGTAAATGGTTTCCTATCCCATCTCATCAGCAGAGTCAAGTCTGCCTCTCACTGGTCTGTGAACGAAACTTGTTAAAGGTGCTTGGCAGACGAGACCTGTTGAGGGAAGGGATCAAGAAAACATGCTGATTCAAGACATCTATGGTATTTGGGGTGAGTCCATCTTAGCATATCCATTTACTGGGAGTATGGCTCTCTAGCACTACCAATGGAACAGTATAGCCACATAGTAGAGGGGAAAACTTCTGCTAGGAATTTTCTCTATTTCAAGTGTAAGCTAAGCAATCGTAAAAACCACACCCTGGAAACTTGGCTGTTAATGATAATTTTCAAATTTCCTTTGATATCTGACATGTATGTAGCAAAAGTACAATTATGCCCTTGGACACACACACACACACACACACACACACACACACACACAGAGAGAGAGAGAGAGAGAGAGAGAGAGAGAATCTTCCCAGCCCTGTAGTTTATGTTATTCATTAAACAGTTTTGGTTGGTTGTTTCTAAGAACATTTATAAATCACAAACTTGTAAGGAAGTATCATGGCAGTGTTCTGTAAATCTTTTAAACATTGTAAGATTATAAAATAATAAAATACAGAACAAAAGACCAACACTGAATTAAATTAATTACATAAAAATACTTGGTGAAACAAAAATGTTTTCAGAAGCTGATGAAATATTAAATTGTAGGGGCCTGTACGATTTCAATAGGAACAGTGTTCCAAAATACTGGTGCCACTATGCTAAAAGTCTACGTTTGCATAGAAATTAAATAAATATGAGACAACTCTGGGACAGTTGATACGTTTTGTTGATACATACTGTCTTCAGTGCTGAACTAGAGGCCAGAGATGCTATTGACCTGGTGCCAGCGTTGTTCATAAACCCTTCTCTTTTCATTACAGTCATCAGAGCCAAGGTAGTGGGCAAGAAGCTTATGAAGGATGGACCTTTTGGGACCATGCAATATACTGTCAAACAAATGAAGGTACGTACACAATCATACTGGATTGAGACAGCAAAACATTTCAAATTGTGGTAGAAATGCCATTATCTGAGAATAGATCTCATGAAACTCCATCATATGCTAACTATGAATGAAGGGATTAGTCTAGTTTTGGACCAGTTTCATATATGTGAACTCATATATTTGTTAGCATCAATTTGCTAATTATTTTTTTTAATAGAACATGCAAATTTTCCTAGTACTTTTTAATGTGTTGCTTCTCAAAATGCATATTTTTCTACTTATTTTACCCTATTAGCACTGGAATAAAATCTTCCTTTGGTGTGAATGGGAGCTCTTTTTCCAGTGCAAATAGCTTGTGTGGCCGGGGGTGGGTGGATCTGGCTTGGGGCTTCAGTGGGATAGCCAGTGGCGTAGCATGGGGGGTGCCAGGGGTGCCCAGCCCCATCGTGCCCTCGGCCCGCCCCTATTGTCAGAGCGGCCGGCCAGCCTCCGCCTGCTCCTACCTTGCCCACCCGAGGACTGCAGCAGCGCCCGCCCCCGTGGCCACCTACCCCCGCCTCGCCCATTGGCTTGCCTCCCTCGGCCCCGCCTCTCTCCGATGGCCGCGGGGGTGTCCTGCTCGGCGCCATCGCCTTTTTTCAGGAGGTAGGGAGGCTGGTCAGGGAGGTGGGGTCGGAAGCGGGCAGAGAAGGAGGGGAGCTCGTAGCCAAAAGGGCTGCGCCGGCCGGCAAAGGGCCGGGGAAAGTTTGGAGAGGAGAAACGCACCGTCATGATTTCCCGGTGGAAGCGGCAGGATTAGGGATGGCGAAGCGTAATTACGCACGAATTTCGCTGGGTGAGAGCTTCGGGGATCGATCGGCGGAAATGGGAATCAATTGGAATATGAGAGAGAGGGACCATCATTCATAGGCATAGATTTGTAGGGTTAGGGGGCGCAAATTACTTGCCTTGCCCCAGGTGCTGACAACCCACGCTACGCCGCTGGGGATAGCAAAGGGTTAAAGCCTACCTACCCTGTGGGTCCTGGTGCAAATAGTCCCACTAACCATGAACACATACCTGCTATTGTTAATTGTGGGAATAGAGTCTCACAATAGTTTGGCCCACAGCCTCTCAAAACACAAAGCTGACACATGCATGCGCGACAGTCCTTAGAAATAACTTCCCATTCTACTCCAGGTGCTACAGAACAGAATATTATTTGCCTTCTGGGCAGTTGTGGGTTGCTGCTTCCTATGCAGGAGGGGTAGTTGTCACTCTGACAACCTAGTTTAGAGACCATTTCACTCTGCAGCCAGGGCATACCATGAAAACAGTTCATGCATGCCACCTTTTTATGTAGGAAACCAGTTGTGTGATCAAGCCAATATTTATTTAGACTATTTATAACCTGTTACTCATTCCTCACCCAGTCTCAGAACAAGAAACAACATTAAATTACGAGAAAACAATATTTCATTTCAATACAACTTAATGTAAAAAACAACAGTATGCTATAACTATGTAAACAAACAAACAAACAAACAAGCAAGCAAGCAAACAAACAAACAACTGCATCAGCCAAGTGAGGGACACAACTTTATCAAATGCCTGGTGACCTTTTGTCAAAATGCCATCAGTGTTGGTGCTTGATTGTACCTGAGAGGTGAGGACATTCCAGAGTTGGGGAGTCACTACTGTTGAGGCGGTTGTGAGTATTATTGTTATCCCATTTATATCCCACCTTCCTCCAAGGAGCTCAAGGTTGCCCCCCCTCCATTTTATCCTCACATCAACCCTGTGAAGTAGGTGAGGCTGAGACTGGTCCAAGGTCACCCAGTGAGTTTCAAGGCTGAGGCAGGAGCTGAACCTTGGTTTCCCACATCCTGTTCTGACTGAGAGCAGCACCAGCCCATTTAAACGCCCTGGGAGCGGACCAGAGAGAAAACTTCAGCAGCCAGGTCTACTCCCTGGCCCCACTCCCCAAGTGGCCATAGATTAGTGCAAATTCAAACCTGGGTCTGAGCACCACAGCAAACAGGGAAAGGGACCAATGTCCGAAACAAACATTGCCTGGGTCTGGGGGGAGGAAGGAGCTGCTGTGCTGCTGGGTTGCAAGTGGACCGGGTAAGCGGCCATTGCAGCACAAGGGCTTTTTTTACTCATTTTCAAGATATTTGTTTGAAATGGAGGTGCATCTTGACACAGCCACCTGACTTGCCCCTCCACATGTTACTTTGCCACAAGAAATATCAGTTCAAGATCATGAACTCCAAATCTCTTGCTTTCTTAGCTGTCAGTGCCAATAAATGCCCACACCCCCCAGAGTGAGCTGAAGCAAGGCAGTGACATATCTGATAATTATATAGGGGCAACTAATTCTTGGACCCTTTGAGCCTGGTTAGATTTTGCCTGCTGACTGTGGAGAGAGAGGGAGGGAGAAATAAAAGCGGCCTCATTGCCTTCACTTGCGCTCTCTCCTGAACTTTCTAGCCATGAGCAGCTTTTCCTTAAACCTGTTGCTCTGGACATTCCTTTGCCAACTGACCTCTTGTTATGTAATGTTAAAAATCTGCTCTGGTTTGTTTTTCTTGGCTGCAACATCTCAGTCATAAGACTGGTTAAAATATCTTTAGAAGAGGGAGAAAAAAGGAACAAATAGAGGCTCTGGCAGTGCTTGCAGAAATCTGAAACATATTAGACAAAGCAATGGTTTAGAAAAACAACCACTTGCCTGCTTCCTAATAACAGTAATTCTCTTTATAAGGCATCATCCAGCTAAGTATAAAAGCTGTGCAGCACCAAAGCCATCGCAAACTATACTTGCTGCCAAAACCAACCTCGACACACCTCCTTCCCTGGAGTGGAATTTTTGCTTGAAATCTCTGTTTCCCTTACTTTATTTAAAGCTGTGTAGCTCCACTGGTCTTTCTTTCTTAAAAAATAAAATCACTTGTGGGTATTGTGCTTATGGCAGTGGTTGATAACAGCTAGGGTCTGCATTTATTTGTGTAGAGGCAAATGACATCAATAACTTTTGTACAGGCTACATAGGAGCAAGCTAGAGGTTTTGGCAGCCCAACCCATGTGTTAAAACGTAGGCTGTGCTGAATTCCTATAAAGCAGGGATTGATCTGGTAATATAAAGCACCACAAGGTGTAAGCAGATTGGATCCTCAGGGTTTGAGAGCCTGTGTGGTATAGTGGTGAAGAGTGGTGGACTTGTAATCTGGTGAACTGGGTTCGCTTCCCTGCTCCTCCACACGCAGCTGCTGGGTGACCTTGGGCTAGTCACACTTCTCTGAAGTCTCTCAGCCCCACTCACCTCACAGAGTGTTTGTTGTGGGGGAGGAAGGGAAAGGAGAATGTTAGCCGCTTTGAGACTCCTTCGGGTAGTGATAAAGCAGGATATCAAATCCAAACTCTTCTTCTTCTTCTTTGGACACATCCCTGTGCCAAACCTAAAATCTGCCAGGTGAATCCAGTGGTGAAACTTTTTGGTCAGCTAAGGATTGTTTCTCCCACATGATCATGTTCAGAGCAGTGATGTGTGAGATTATTCCCAGAATTCTGCTCTCCTCTAACTTTTACTGAGGAAGGTTCCATTCCCTGTATGGCGGGCACAGAGAGGGCCCTACTGTGAAATAGAGGGAGGATGTTGTGAGAATGAGACATTTTGCCACTATCTGGCTACAGGACACAATGACTTATACTCACCCAAACACAGAGATTTGCTGATAGATATAGGAGACTGGGCTATGCATGACTTCAACCTACTTAGCCTTACTGAGCAAATAGAAAACATGAAAGCAGTTGGGGACAAGAACTTGCTGAGCTAACAATTGGGACTGGAATACAAGAAGGGGAGGTGTGGGGAAGTCAGGGAAAGATGTTATTGAAAATAAGGAATGTAAACTTTATGTGTTTTTAATTTTTTTTGTTTTCTCTCTCTTTTTTGAAAATTTTAATAAATATTTTATATTAAAAAAAAAGAAAACATGAAAGCAGTGGCATAGTTGCTTTAACAAATTTAGCTGTTAGAATCTACTTTAACTGCACATTCCAATTTGGGCCTGACAGATTTCATGGTGAGCTTTATCCTCCATAAATTTATCTAAACCTCTTGTAAAGCTGTCCCAGTTGGTGGACCTCATTACATTACAATGTATTCCACAGTTTAACTATATGTTGAAACTGTACAGTTGCAGTAAACTGTACAGTTCCATGAGTAAACCTTTTGAGTTTGTGTTATGAAATATTATTTTCTTTCCCAACTGCATACTAAAGAGAACTAAAGAGAATATTTCTGATATGGCTTCAGTCCATGATGTTTTGTTATTGCTTGGGAATATAAAGGCAGCGTGTTCTGGGAATTGTCCAAAAGTACTGTAGCTGACCGTGCAACAAAGGAGGTCAGCATTACTACTGACACTGTTGGCGTCTCTACTCAATTTGAAAGGCACACAGCACATGCAGCTGCCAATATCTTCACTCCAGCCCATTCTAAGGCAGAGGATAGGAAAGTTTTTATAGCTGTAAGGGAAAGCAGTTAGTATTTAAACCATGAATTAAAACTCATGAAGTGGCAGCAACCATTCTGTCTCGTGACATCTGTCTTAAGGCCACTGTAAAATGAGATGGACCACATGATTTGTACGTAGATTTTTCCTGCACAGTCTCACCTAATCCCCAGGAATGGAGGATTGCTTAATGGAATGCTGAGTCAGTGGGAACTAGTGCTGTTCTAGCAGGCGCTACCAGGCAATGCTCATTAATACTTTGTTCTCTAACATTCATTTCCTAAAATACAGGACTGTGGAGACAGAAAGATTCTAAGAGTAGTAATGCTGCCTTCTTGACAAAATCAACAGTCTATTCAGAATTACTCCTGTGTTGGAGTGGGTGCAGGTTACGAAAGATCCCATGGGATTGTGCCCTGAACTAATAAAAGCTGCAGGATATTCTGTGTGTGTTTTTAAGAACAAAAAAACAATGATTAGAGCTTTCTTTTCAGGAGACTTTCCTTGTTTCCACAGGCTGCCCTTGTCCATTGTACAAGGTAGCAAAACATGCCCATCCATCTCTGAAAGAGAGTTTCAGCATGCCTTACATTACTATCCCAAACCAGAACCAGTTAATTATCATAAGCGCTCCCTTCCCAGCAACTTTGGGAGCTGTAGTTCTGTGAGAGGCACAAACATCTGGAAACATGAGGGGCATACTTTATAATATAGTTCTTAACTCCTGGAGCTGAGGAAGTCATTCAGTAATGGAAAAGGGACATTACTGTGCTCTAATATTAGTGGTCCATTGAGTACACACACTTATGCTTGATGCTGTACAAACCCACCATCTGCCAAATTTCCTGGGGCCACCATGCTAGAAAATGTACTGCAACATATTAAAATGAAGTACAGGGTTGCCATCCTGGAGTTAGCAGTTTGAATACTCAGAGCTAAGAAATTCCAAGGTCGGTTATTTTTTGGTTGAATAATATTTTGTTAAAAATTCTCTCTCTCTCTCCTTTTTAAAGATGTACAGGGGTTTTGACAAGATGCCACATGTTCAATATATCTACACAGAGGCCTCTGAAAGCCTTTGCGGGGTCAAGCTGGAGGTCAACAAGTACCAGTATTTGATTACAGGTAAAGAAATAGCAGAGTTGTTTGTCACAGCTCGCTTGCAGGGTGTATTTGTTTCAACTGTATTTTTAGAGGAGTTGCAGCTTAGTGCTAGTGGATGTGGATTACAAGTATTTAACCCACAAGTCTCAAAAACTAAAGTTTTGATTTAACTCTGCTTCCAAAATTATCTGTGCCAATCAGGTGTCGTCTGACTGGAACAAGTGCAGGAGAAGTGGCTGTTAGTTTTACATTGTAGAAGACAGTATCTTATTAATGAAAATTCACACAAATTTGGGAATTATCAACATTTCAAAATTCAAAGTCAATTTTATTCTGAGCATTTTCCAGTTGAACTTTGAGAGATAATTTTTTTAAAAAAGGATTTTCAATCTTGATGAATACCAAATTCAGGTCTCCTACTAACTGGTATTCTTTTCTTAATCTACCATCATTCAGAATTGGAAATATTGGGCAATATTTAGACTGGACACATGTGAAATTGAATTTTTTGCAGTCATATTCAGATTACCATAATTGCCTAGGGAATTCCTCCCACCCACCTCATCTTCTCAGTGCTAATTATATAGGTGTTGAAGACACAAGCCCTGCATGAAAATAAGCAGGCATGACATAGTAGGATACAGTTCCTTACTATATTTCAAAAGGTAGCCGTGCTGTTGCTAATTACTTGCATGTGGGAGGGACTTTTGTAGCTGGTATCAACTTCCAAACTGCAGAAATACTGGCACTACGGATATTTTCCACATCTGGGAATTTAACAAATTATTTACGCTTGAATGGCTCATTTGCAGTTTCATTTTCTAGGCCGAGTTTATGATGGAAAGGTTTACACAGGACTGTGTAACCTGAATGAGAAGTGGGATCGACTGACTCTCTCCCAGCGCAAAGGACTCAACCATCGTTACCACCTTGGTTGTGGCTGCAAGGTGTGTGCTGTCTACGGTGACCACTCCTTGAGTTGTCAACAACTTCATATATTGGGGAATGGACTGGGAAGGGAGAGGCAATAGAAGGGGAACTTTGGAATTTTATTCTCTGTGAAAATCTGGGAAGAAAAGAGCAAAATGAAAGCTCTGCAAAGGCTAGGAGCTCAGTCACCCGGCATGCATCTCCCGCAGGCTTAAGCAGGAGTAAGGAACCAAAGGGCCAGATTCCCTTCTGGGCAATCTTCTGGGGGCCACATACCAGTAGTAGGTGGGACCAGCAGCAAAACTGAGTGGTGCAACAAATGTAAATTTTATATTATCAGCAGACTAGTTTCTACATATATACTTCATGGTATCTTCAATCCAGGCAAGCAAGCAAGAGGTATTATCAGAGTCCATGGACACATTCCAGCCACACAGAAATGTTCAAGGATGGTGCACAGCAGGGACAGTGAGGGATGTGGCTGAGGATAGGATGTTGCCTGGGAAGAGTCCTGAGGGCCCAGTAGAGAGTCCTGAGGGCTGCATTTGGCTCCCTGAGGTTCCCTGCCAGGGACAGGGGCTTAAGGTAGTTCCATTAATCAAGGCACAGGTCAGGTTCAAGAATATGATTTTTGGACCGGCTCATTACAAAAATACTAGAAATATACCTTTCAGCTTTACAATTTGGTTGAATTTCCCTGTAACCCATGATCTGAACTCAGAGGTTTCCATATTGACCTGCTACTTTTCAAAGGAAACAAAACAAACTAACATAGGCACAGGACTTAAGTTAAGGTAAAGGGACCCCTGACCATTAGGTCCAGTCGTGGCCGACTCTGGGGTTGCGGCACTCATCTTGCTTTATTGGCTGAGGGAGCCGGTATACAGCTTCTGGGTCATGTGGCCAGCATGACTAAGCCACTTCTGGCGAACCAGAGCAGCGCACGGAAATGCCGTTTACCTTCCCGCTGGAGCGGTACCTATTTATCTACTTGCATTTGATGTGCTTTCAAACTGCTAGGTTGGCAGGAGCAGGGTCTGAACTGAGCAATGGGAGCTCACCCCATCGCCGGGATTCAAACTGCGACCTTCTGATCGGCAAGTCCTAGGCTCTGTGGTTTAACCCACAGCGCCACCCGCATCCCCAGGCACAGGACTTACCAGGCAATAAATCAAATCAAACTCAAATGGGGTTTAATTCTGAGCGGGCAAGTATAGCAACGCAACGTTAAGAGAAAAAGCTGCGAAGCGCCTGACTCTTCTTAAACCATTTTAGCCAACCCCAATCACTTGTTTTCTTTTTGAAACTACAGATTAAGCCCTGCTACTACCTTCCGTGCTTTGTGACCTCCAAGAATGAGTGCCTGTGGACAGACATGCTTTCCAGCTTCGGCCAACCAGGGTACCAGTCAAAGCATTATGCCTGCATCAAGCAGAAGGAGGGCTACTGCAGCTGGTACAGAGGATGGGCACCTCCTGATAAAACAACCATCAATGCCACAGACCCCTGAACACCCCCTTTTCTTTGTTCCTTCCCTCCCATGCGGCTGAGCATTCTTTGGACACTAACTCATATCAGATCATGATGACAACCATGATATTAGTGCCTGTTTCTTGCAAATTTTAGCACTTCGAACTTTGGTGTTTGTTTGTTTTTTAAATCTATGCTGTCTTAACTGATTTTCTTTTGTTTTGTTTTGTTTTAAATCACTTAAAAACAACAACACAATCGCTATCACCCATTTTTGGTCAGAAGAGATTTATCTGGGAACTTCTGTTTGCACACCAGATAAATAAGGGAGCTTTGGTTCTCAGTTATGCATCACTCTCTATATAGCAATATAATCTATATTTTTGTAGGAAAACAAAAATCTCAAAAATTTCCCAGATGGGTATTGTATCACAATTCCAGCCCCCTCCCCAAGCTGCTTCTTCACTTACACATTCAATCCTCAGACCATGTAGATACTCTTTTTTAAAAAAAAATGCAACCAGTTAGGATTAACAATGTGAGCAAATTTAAGCCACACACCGGATGGATGAAAAGAAAGTGATGATGTTTGAACTGGATAGAGCACTGGGGGGATTCAGCTGTCATGTGCATTAAAAGCACTACATCAAAATGCCTGTCTCGTTTGAAATGTGAATGTAAAAGCTCCATTGTAGTTCTGGGTTGTGCAAGAGCATAAATAACAGCTTTTAAAAATAAACACCAATTAATGGGAGCGAATCCCTCTTCTAAGTACGGAGCAAACAAGTTCAGAACCAAATCAACACCAGGCATTTTGGGGTTTTTAGCCAGGCTTCCAAGAGGTCTTTTCAACATAAACCCCTAATACATGCAAATGTATCAATACAAAATAAAACAAATAAATACACTTAAACAAAGATACTTGGAAAGAGAGGCAAAGGGAAGTCTGGAGAAAAGAAAAAAAAAGTAATCTAATTAAGGCTATTGGCATTAAGAAATTAGATGCCAAAACATTGTTTTGTTGAATGGAAATGTATATAGATATGATGATATAAGCTATTTTTGACAGGACATGGAATTGTTTCATGCTATAAGCAATGACAAGTTTGAATCTTCACATTCCAAGTCACTGGATACTATTTTTTTTTAAAAAAAAACTAAAGAGGTTGACTTTCCGGTGTTTCTGCAGTAGTGACAATAATGGGTGTTTATTCCCCATGCTATGTGCTTCCCTCCTCTCCTTTTAGCTGCAATAAGGGCCAATGCACACAGCTATTCGAAGACTGAAAAGTCACTAGGTTTCCTCCTCTTCACCAGTCATTAACAAAGCAGTCTTGGGAAAGTGCCCTGGTTAATCAAAGTGAAAAACAATTCTGTTTCTAGGACTTTTCATTGTGTGGTGATTATACTACACAGGAGCCTTTTCACACTACCACATTGCCATATGAATACTATGCGGAGAAACACTCCTTGGTCATTCTTTTTCCTCCTCTGAAATGATCTGCATCAGTCTGCATAGTAGCCAGAAAAATACGCTGGATGGGTATATAACACACCCATCTGTGCTACCAGAGAAATACTTAGGAAGTACAGAATTCCCTAAGGCTCTAGAAATCACCTTCTAGCAATGCAATCCTATGCATGTCTTCACAGAAGTATGTCCCGTTGAGTTCACTGGGACTTACTCCTAGGTAAGTATGTATAGGATTATAGCCTAAAGGAACATTGCTGGCTATGATTAAGCAGAACTATGCTTATGGGCTCAGTAAACCTTCTGGCAATAGGGGATGAAGGAGGAGGTTGTCCCACCTTCACTGTGGACTTGGTAATTTGTTTGTTTTTATTATGAAAAGTATAATATAAAAATATTGTAATAAAAGTATTTTACATTATAATGTTGTCAAGAAGCAGGGTTACTGATGGGATGGGCAACTATATACTTTGTGGAGGCTGTGGAATGGGGTGAAATATTGACAATGAACACAAGTTTTCTTTACAGTACTTTTTAAAAGTTGGTTTTTGTGTGTGTCTTAATTTGCTATCTGTCTTCAATTCATTCCAGTGTAGAAAATAGAGCTGTCATAAGCTGGAAAGTGATCAACTTAAGCATGTGCCTAGCTACCTTCTTACAGGCAGGGAGAGCTTCATGTGTGCATTGAAGCTCCCACAACCACGAGAGTCATGACCTGGAGTTCAGGGCTATGATCCTGAAATAAATAATCCCTGCACTGTACACAGAAAACCAGCATATCCCAGAGAAATCTAAGCTAGTTCCCTTTTTGCTGATGTCTTATTTTTCTGTAGGAAGTTATTTTAACACGAGGGAGCATTCAGTCATGCAATCCGTAGTCTGTAGACCGAAGTGGTTTTATCACGTGGTCTGCTGGTTGTGCAGATTGGTCCTAATCTCAAGACTGCACCCTATGTTCTTGCTTGCTACACTAGGCCAGTAGCAAAGTTCATCCAGTGTTCCCTCTGGCAGCAGAGTTGGACCCTGAGGCAGTGGCGTAGCGTGGGTTGTCAGCACCCGGGGCAAGGCAAGTAATTTGCGCCCCCTAACCCGTGGATTTGCGCCCCCTAACCCGTGGATTTGCGCCCCCTAACCTGTGGATTTGCCCTAACCCCAGATGTTGCGCCCGGTGCGGCCGGCCCCCCCTGCACCCCCCACGCTACGCCACTGCCCTGAGGCAGTGCTGGATTTAGGGCGGTGCTGGCAGTTCCCCCACATAGGATGCTGAGCTGAGGGGGCGCAAAATTGAGAAGATCCATTTAAGGGTGCTAAATTTTGGCTTCACACAGGGTGCCATATTATGAAAGATTACCAAAGTCCACCCCTGCCTGGAGCTGGGATTTTTGTACAATGAGCCGGCATCCATAGCAAGAAGTGAGAAAGAGCAAGTTTTGCCAATTGTAAGATAGGACTCAGTGTGCCTGGTTTTGTACCTGTTTCCAGGGAGGAAATATTGACCCGTTAGGGCACTTATTTTAAAGCCATCATTGTGATGGAATTGCTGACACTTTCATAGAGCTATTGGCAGCAGAAGCGTTCTTGAACTGATACTTCTGAAGAGGTACAATGGCAAAAACTGCAGCACTGACACTACTTCTAATCTAGCCAAAATCAATGGCATTGTTCTAAAGGCGTATCCATTTTAGTATTGAACCACAGGGGTGGATCCCTCACCATACTTTGGAAATTAAAAGCTGCACAGTGGGCACTGATAATACAGCTTTTCTTTAATGTCATATGGGCACAAAATAGTGCACTTCACTACAATATACGAAGACATATGAGAAGTGTTTTAATGTTTTGAACTTGTCAAAACCTCTGTGCAGATTCGCTGTCCCACATAAGGTTTGAGGACAGTAGCTCATTCATAGCCAGTAGGATGCACTCTCCAGACCTGTCTACGTACCTATAAATCAGATCTTGAAAAATTGCCAAGGCCACATAAAATCATATTGAGACTTGAGTTAATCCTCTCTCCACCAAGCCTTCACCCTTCTGAAATGGAAGTTAACAAGTCTAGCAGGCCAAATTCAGTGAAGCCAGTGTTATGACTGATGTGGGTAGGGAGAGTATTTCAGTGTTTCTAGCAGTGGTTGTTATTTATCAGCTTGCTGGAGATAAGGTGGCCTAAGTTCAGTTTGTGTCGTTTCTGAGATAAACCTAACATGAATTCAGATCTTGAAAGGCAAGAAGGGGAAGCAGCTTCCTGTTGACTGAGTTGTTAAAAAATGTGATCTGTATTTCCACTGAATGGCAGCTCCGCATTTGTATTATTTTCACTGACTGTAGAATTTTAAGATCATAGCTGAGACTTTACAGCTCTGCTATCAAGCTATTGTAGAAATCTCTTTAATTGCCAAGAAGGTACCGTATGTGTCTTTATACAGGCTATAATATATGTGTGTGCTTTGTAGGAAAACAAACAAAAAACAAACAGGCCACCCATCGGGGGGAAAAGTAAGTTCTTTTTGTATACAGATTTCCATTGTACATTACAGAAAGTAAAGAGTTGTTGGAGGGCATGCAACACGACTAAGAAGGCAAGGGCAGAAGCGAACAACCTTTCACCATGCTGATAATCAAGCCATCAAAGAGGGTTGTTTGGGGTTTTGTTTTGTTTTAATAAGGAGTCAAATGGAGGGTAAAGATTGAGGGGGAAGAACCCAGCAAAAAATACATTTCTTTTGGGAGATCTCCACATTTTTTAGTGTTACTAATAATCAGTAACGTGGGTGGCGCTGTGGGTAAAAGCCTCAGCGCCTAGGGCTTGCCGATCGAAAGGTTGGCGGTTCGAATCCCCGCGGCGGGGTGCGCTCCCGCTGCTCGGTCCCAGCGCCTGCCAACCTAGCAGTTCAAAAGCACCTCCGGGTGCAAGTAGATAAATAGGGACCGCTTACTGGCGGGAAGGTAAATGGCGTTCCGTGTGCTGCGCTGGCTTGCCAGATGCAGCTTGTCACGCTGGCCACGTGACCTGGAAGTGTCTGCGGACAGCGCTGGCCCCCGGCCTATAGAGTGAGATGAGCGCACAACCCTAGAGTCTGTCAAGACTGGCCCATACGGGCAGGGGTACCTTTACCTTTACTAATAATCAGTAGTGGATACTGGGGTGGGGTAGTTGCTGCTGCTTACTGGGAGGGAGGGGGGCAAGGGGGGGAAAGCTTGGTGCTGTGCAAATGCACTGGCAGGAGCGCCATATTTGCTGCATCTTAACAGCATCAAACTCTCCTGCTACCTTGACCTTCCCACCCTTCATCCCGGTAAGCAGTAATGACTCTGCTGCCAGGAAGTCAGGTAAGCACCACTGCCCCATCCTACTGTCTGCTACTGCTAACAATTTTTTATAAAACAAAATTGCAAACTGCTTTCTAATCTTTGCTTCATTCCCTTGCACAACAACCCTTGCCATCATTCCCATTTTACAGGTGGCCAGGACAAGAGCGGGACTTGAAACAGGTAACCCTGACCCAAGTGCAACTCTCTATCCACCACACTGGCTTCTCAGCATTATAGCTATTAAGCTGAGCTTTGCACTTGGTGCATGGGCCTGAGCCATACCTGTTGAAGTCAACTGGCACCTTTCCAGTGATTCCAGAGGTTTAGAGATGTAGGTCTGTGCAAGCCCAATGAAGAACCCTTATTCATTTCAAAGAAAGCTTAATCCTATGCCTTTCCAAATAAAGGAACCCCACTGAGTTCAATGGAACTTACTCCCAAGCAAGTATGCACAGGATTGTAGCCTTCTGCAGTCTTAGTATGTCCCATCAAACCTAGTGGGGCTCTCTTGTGAACATACAGGCACTGGGTTGGGCTGTAAATCTGCATTCTTTTCTCTTCTCCATGACTATCAGTCTGGGAGAAAACGTCTCCCCAGAAGGAATGTAATTTTTGCTTAGTTTTGTAGCACTGTTTACAGTTTTCCTCCTTGTTTTTGTTATTTATAAATTTTATATTCAATGAATGTATATTGTCTTTTAAGGTAATAATGTTCACTTTTTATAGTGTCCTTTTATTCTAAAACAATAAAGTGTTTTATTTCTATCACAGACATTTTCCCTTCTTTAATTTGGTTGACAGTTTTGAGCTATCTGACTGGCTATTGCTGGTTAGTGGCAGAAAGCTGATGACTCATGTTTATCAGACACTTTGGGTATGTTCATATTACCACTTACTCCACAACCATATTGATCCTTTACAAATACTTCTGTTTGATGTGCTTTTTCTCAAACCAGCTTCAATCCGACTAGAAAACTTAAGCCACATTCACTTAATGGTTAAGAACAGTGTGTGCATTTAAGACAGCCATTGTGCCTTTGCAGATAAGGGTGCATACACAGAATACAGCTTCATAAATAGGAGTTCTGGAGTGTGGGTGGGTGTTGCAGGGGGCGGAGAAACCAAAAAGGTAATGTATATTGGATGAAGGCATCCCTGCCCCCACTCTGATGTGAACAACACTATAGAAATGTGGCTTGAAACCCAGTGCAGTAAAACAACCTTGCTGCATTTTAAGCCACTAATGTGAACATGCCTTTAAGCTCCACAGCTTTCAACGGGTCTTATTCCTAATTCCTTAGAATTCTCACTCTGACTTCTGCGTCATCCCTGGGAATTCTCATCTCCTCTTTCTCTGTGCCAAAGTTGGGAACAAAATCTAGCATGTGTCGGTCACATAGCTTTCTCATAATTATTATGCATGAAAATTGATTTTTATTTTTTATTTGGAGGAGAAGATAATGATCATATGGGGATCACTGGCCATGTGCAAATGCAAGCAAGATTTGCTTTCATTTACATTAGTTCAAGTTCATTTTGCTACTTTCAAAACTGTATCCAGTAGTCAAAACAATATATGGCGCGTCATTTGTGAGGTTCTGCTTTATCCATCTTGAACTACGAACAGAGTTCAGAAGATTAACAAGTGCAGAACAAAGCTCTAGTTACATGATAAGCTGAAATTCTATACCAAGTCAGACAATCGGTCCACCCAGCTCAGAATCCACACTGACTGGTAGCAACTCAGTCTATCTCAGCCCTACCCAATGATGCAAGGGAATAGAATGGGAATCCTTCACAGAGAGCAGCTGGACTAATCTAGTACAGTGTCCTCTCCTGCAGCAGCTCAGATCCAAGGGAGAGTATGGCACTCAAACTTTGAATAGTAGCATCCTCACTTCTTCTCATGCAAGAGGGTTCCCCCCTCTGCTCTCCTTACACCTCATAAATTATCAGCAACTCTTGATGCCTCAGCTCTGGCTGCTTATAATTCTACAAACACAGATGTTTTAGGCCCATATACAGTATTCTAATTAAACAACCACTTAGAGGTTTTATTTACAGTTAAGCATTATACAGCATTTGTTACATTACTAGAAACAAGCTGGTTCAAACTGGGGTTTTTGAATGTTACTGCCCTAAGGCTCTGTACAACAAAAGAAAAAGATACATATGGAATGCATCCTTGTAGTGCTGGATTTACCTATAAGCTAAACAAGCTATAGCTTAGGGTCCCACTCTCTTGAGGGCCCCCCCAAAAATTAAAGGAAAAATAACCACTGGATGTACATTTCCAAAATATAAGATAAAAAAAATAAAAATAAAACCTACATACAGCAACAGTGTTTTGTGATGTGTAGGCTCCTATTTGTCATGTGAAAATGGCTTTGGATACCTACTAGAGGTCCATAAATTACCATATAGCATATATTCAACACAAAAAACAGTGGCAATTTGTTGACAAAGGACAGCTGGACATTACCTTCAGTAGCTTAGGGCCTCATCAAACCTAAATCCAGCCCTCCATCCTTGTATGAACCAATTACTGTCAAGATCCAGAAGTCTTTATGCATCAGTCAAATATTACTTCACTTTTCTAATGTCCTCCTCCCAGAACCAGGGAAAAAATGGGAATGGGACTTTTTAAAAATGCCATCACATTGCTGCTGCTTTTCTGTTAGGTGTCACTGGGCCCCTCCAGACATGCTTTTTATTGTGCATTCGTTATGATTTGTGTTCATGACGCTATTAGGATAGTCATACGTGAACCCACATTCAATCCTGTTTGTGCCTACAAAAGTTCTGGGGCGGCCACACTGCATCATTTTTAATCAGTGCATTTTATGTAAATTCCTGCTGAAATTCCACAGCTTTATATGCCACAAATGCTCCAGTTTTGCCCCACTTTTGCGGCAGTATAGCCCCCTCTGGACAGCAATAACGTGGTAGCATCAGGGAACCATCACAAAATAATAATAATACTAAAGTGGAATAAATTCATGATAAATGCACTCTTCTTGTCTCAAGAACATATTGTGGAGTACACCCGTAATAAAACGTTAGTCTGGAAGGGCCCACAGAATGGTTTTCTTGTTCTCTCCAGTGTCACAGTCCCGTTCTCTATATATCATAGCACACCATCAAAGAAAATAAACCCAAGGTACTTACCATCTGTTTATGGCTTGGAAAGAAGGTTTGCTCCACAAGAGGGAACTTCTCAGGACCCAGAGAGTTGAAGATTTTAATTAGCTGAGAGAACTAAAATGGAAAGAAAGAGGATTCATGTAACTTAACAAGCACATACATATAACAATTCCTATCCTCAGGGGTGGTCTTTGGTAATATGGCAACCTGAGCAAGGACAAAATCTGCTCCCCTCCTATTTCCTATTTTTACAATAACTTCTTTTGGTAAATTTGCTTTTAAAATGGATATTCTGAATATTATTATTATTTTGTGCCCCCTCATCTCAGCACCCTATGGGGAACTGCCCACACTACCCTAAATCCAGCACTGTTGTCCTGCCCAAGGCTATCATCTTCTGCCCCAAAGAGCAAGAGCAAGAAATGGAACCTGCGGTAGGGGCATAAAGATTCCTAAACCACTCCTACTGAGTTCTATGCGGAAGCACAACCTTGGGACATAATTGAGATGCACAAAACGAAATATTCACAATAGACACTGGCAATTCCAGGAGCAAATTTATCCCCCCCCCCAATGTCAAGGCATACTCCTTGACAAGCTCCCCAGTGAATGGATCCTACAGATAAAAGTAAAGTTCATTTGGGAACAATACTTCACAAAGGGCAAAAATTTAGAGGCCAATTATGGGCAGCAGCAGGAGGAGCATTGCTTTCCTCTCCCGCTTGTGCTCCAAAAAAATCACACCTGTCATAATGAAAGGCCTTTTAACTTAGGGTGCTTCTTAGAAAATTAAAGTGCACATACTCTTCGACCCCAAAGAAGTGCAAAAATTATATGGCATGGTTGTATGCCTCTCAGATATTGCTGGTCTTCACCATTTGTCTAAATAAACAAAACTATTCCTTCAGGGGGGAAATTAAATATTTGAGAAAATCCAGAAATCTTCCAACAGCATGTGACAGTGCAAAAGTCACCAGCAAGCCCAGTCAGAGATCCGTGCATGCGGATAAATAAAATATCCTGCCATTTCCCCCTGCGATTATTGTTGGCAACACAGGTTGTTGACCCAGCATAAAGAAGCGAGATTGCCTCTCTTAACTACTTACACTAACCCTGAACATCTGATGAGAAAAGCAAAATAAAACTGTTTTGACTAGCTCAGTGAGCAAACATAAGAAGTTACAGCTGTGTGTTTAAGTGTGTGTATATGAGAGAGAGAGAGGATAGACACAACAAGCAAAAGAGGAGTGTATGTTAGTCACTGTACAATTATGTAGCACATTCGAATATAAAAACATGTGTGATCTATCTTCTATACGCAAGCCGCAGTTCACATGGGGGCAATCTGCCATTCCTTCACCAGGTTATGCCAGTCCCTGGTCCCAAACTTGTACAAAGCAGCAGCACACACAAAAATGTTTATTTATTTGCTTCCAAAACGTATACCCTGCTTTTCAAATGCATTTGCATTGCTCATGGCAGCTGCATTGCACTGCTCACAACCTGGGCACAGGTAGAGAAGGCCCTCTCTTTTTCATTCTGACTCCATCATGCTTCAGACACTGGTGTGACACAGAGAAAGGCCTCTCCATGAGATCTAAGAGAACAAATAGGCTGATAGGGGAGGACCTCACAGCATATCATTTATATATTATGTATTTGTAAATGCTTTTAGCCTGCACTGGAATGCATGCTACCACATACCAAGAATGGGGTATGAAATGCACTTCACATGGATGACCTATACAGTGGTGCCCCGCAAGACAAATGCCTTGCAAGACGAAAAACTCGCTAGACGAAAGGGTTTTCCGTTTTTTGAGTCATTCCGCAAGACGAATTTCCCTATGGGTTTGCTTTGCAAGACGAAACGTCTTGTGAGTTTGTTTCCTTTTTCTTAAAGCCACTAAGCCGCTAAGCCGTTAATAGCCGCTAAGCCGTTAATAGCCGCTAAGCCGCTAATAGCCGTGCTTTGCAAGACGAAAAAACCGCAAGACGAAGAGACTCGCGGAACAGATTAATTTCGTCTTGTGAGGCACCACTGTAGTAGCTTTCCTACTTCGCTTTGGGAAAAAAGATAGAAAGAAAGAAAAATAAGGAAAGGTAATTAAACTTTCACTGTCTCTGGAGGGCCAGCAGAGAAAACAACATTTAACAGAGAATATTTATCCATCTATGGTGGTACCAGTTTGCTATCTCTCCCAGCTGCTTCTCTCTGTCAGCGTACATTGTAGCCTTCTTTATCTTTGAACTCTGAAGCCTTAGTTTTAATGGGCATCTTTAGAATGTACTTGTGCCCACCTGAAACAAGTTAATGGGGAATAATAACCTTTTGCTGAATAGTTTTCCTGCTTGCTTTGCATACCTCAGCCAAATATACTAATTAATTAATTGTTATGTTTGTGTGACCACAATAAGTGAGCTAACATCATCTGATGGTTTTAGCACCAGCATCTAGATAGGTATCAGGGAAATGAAACTTCCAACCATCCTACCACCAGCTGCCCTGTGGGAAGGATCCTGGTGGCTTTTAATAAGTTGGTGCTGTTTATTGCCATTTTAAAGAACATATTTTAATGTATCCTGGAAGGTGGGATATAAATAATTGTCATAATAAGTAACATTGGTAGGGTGCTTTGCTAATTCCAAGTAGCATGAAATACCATCACACTGTGGACAATCTAGTACCATATAGGAAGGTTAAATTTTGACCATGGAAGTAGAATAACTAAATAAAGGAAAACATGCTAATCTGAGTGAAAATAAAGAAATAATCTTGTTCTGCAACTCAAGACTTGTTTATTTCTATGTTGTATATGTAGCACATTTTCAGCAAAATATTGATGAGCAGATGCCTAATTTCAAATACTTACTTTGTAGCTTACATATCTGCAATAGAGTAATATTAATTCCCAAAGTTTGCTGTCTCAATTTCTTAATAGTCTGCTATAATTTCAGGTCTGTATTCCTTGCCAGAGATGACCTCAGCAATGTAAATTGTGCTTGAAATGCATATCTGACCCATATTCAATCAAGTAAGCCAAAAACTGTTTCCAATGCCAGTTTGACCTCTTTGATTTTATTAAGCAGTAGTGGGAGAAAGTAGAGTCTATGAGCTCATCAGGACTTAAAGAATCTGGGCAGCCCAATACCATAAATCACCTTATGATTATGATTACACAGTACAAATATTGTATGCCGCACATCCCAGGGGACAATGTGAGGGCACCTGGGACTACCACCTTGCTGAAGCTAAGCAAGTCTGGCTTTGATCATTGCCTACATGGGTAGCCACCTGGGAACCAACCATATCTACATTCACTTGAGTCCCATGATGGAAGAAATACAGGATATAAATGTAATAAAATATACAAAAATCCTGCACTTGGCAAATAAAGAATAGCCATGCTTTTCTGCCCCCATCCTGGTTTTATTAGGGGGAAATGGCACACTGTGTTGTGATCCCTGCTTTCCATTCAGTTTTCAGAATTTAAAATCTGCTCTGGAGGATTGGGGGAACAGGTTTGGGGAGGCACAAGGGAAAGAAAGGGGGTGCAAGTTCCATAGTGCAAGCAGTAATACTTGTGCTGAAGGGACCATGGCCTTGTAGTACTTTGAATACCACCCCATGGATCTCTGGAGAGAATGGAACATTTTAGTCAGACCCTGACACCTGCAGAATGTATCAGTGCCAGAAGTCTAAGCCTTTATCAGGTAAATTATTTGCACATGACAGTCCTCCACTCTTCCAGATTACTTAATTCCAGGCCAGTGGAAAATCCAGTGTGTGGTTGCCACATGCCAGACAAGCAACAAGTACTGAGTTGCCTGTGACAATGTTCTCTCAGCAAAAGCCCAAGGCCTGCTTTCCTCAGTTCAGCTATTTGGCCTGTTAGGTATTGAGTTGCACAGAATCCTCAGTCTCACAGCATACCTGGTGTGCTTGAAACAAAATAACAACAAAATAATTTAGATTTACCAAAACAACCAAAGTATTAAATTGGGAGCTTCTTGCAGTACGGGGATCCTCAACTCCCCTCTCATTTCATGTAAGGAAGCTTAAGAATGGCACCTACCACCCAGGGCTTGCTGCAAAAATTGTAGATGGAGAAAAGAGAATTGACACTGTGGACTCCGCCATATTGGAGGCCGATGATGAGGCTGCGGAAGTCCTCTCCTAGTGCCATGCTGTAAGCATGCTGCCGGATGAGAACAAAGTCAGGCTTGAAGGATCTAGAAGACATAATCAGAGGACATTTCTTAAAAGTCAGTCAAGTCACCCACTTCCTATCAGTTACTTTCTTTTTTGCTTCCAATGCCTTTCCTTCCTATAATTCTAAGATTTCAAAAAAGCACCAGTCATTGTTATTATATTAAAGACATCAATAAATAAAATCCTTCATTTTAGGATTTACGAAACAGAACTGAGAGGACTCCAGGTACATTTCTCACAGTTTCCATTATGGGCTCAGACAGGAAGGCTCATACAGGAATGATCTACAGCAAGAACTAAAGATAATAAATTAGGAATGGTAAAGTGTCTTTCCAGCCGTTCTCATGTGAAAACTTTGGATGGATTTGGTGGCAATTTTTTGCAATGTGCTGCACAGATGACAGAGCAAAAGCAGTTGCTGAATTCTTAAAGCTGGAGACCAATTTAAAGATCACCATATGGCATTTATGAATGAAAACATCTATCCATTAAACACATATGTTCACTTATTAGAGAATGTTTTCCCATAGAAAACACAAAGTGAGCATTGTCTGTTTTGTCATAGGTTGCACATATACCATACATTTAAAGCATAACCCCCCCGAAACCTGTTGTTTGTTAAGGGTACTGGGGGTTATAGCTCTGTGAAGAGTAAACTACAGCTCCCTTTATTCTTTGGGAGGGGGAGTACCTTAAATGTGCGGGGTATATGCAGACACAAACTCCCTAGTTGATAGAAGAGTTCTCTTTTTGAGGTTTGCTTATTTATTAACTAAAATATTTATATACTGCTGTATCACAAAAATACATAGCAGCAGTTTATACCTACCTACCTATCTACACCCCCGCCAAACTTTTTATCATAAAAAGTTAAGAACAAGTTAAAAGCAAAAAGAAGTTAAAATCAAGCACCAATAGACCATTGTGGGAAGGCTGCTGGTCTGAATATACCTAGGATATAATAGACAAGTATAGAAGAGCTGCTTCTCGCCTCTTGAATTCCCCTCCCTTGTAGATTAAATCTAAACATTTTAAAGCAGTTTTATAACTTGAGCTGTTTATTATTCAGGGTGTTTTCTGATGAATTGGGTTCAAACTTGGGAAAGTGTTTTAATATTTATTGGGTTACTTTTATTTCATTTCACTGAATTACTTTTTAGGCACAGTTTTTCATCACAAGAAGAGCTCTGGTAGATCAGACCCAATATCAAACCAGTCCAGTATCCTGGCTCGTACAGCAGCCAGCCATGCCTTCAGGACACCTACAAGCCAGAAGCAGTGTCCGGGGTAAGGCAGAGCCACTGCGCTAGCTTCTCGCCAGGTGGGTCACCATTGCCTACTGAGAGATGGGTGAGGTGGTGGGTTGTCCAGTGCATTTGCTTCCTGCTGATTCCCCTGCTGCCTCACCCCTCTCCCTTCTGGTAAGCAACAGGCCCCCACCTGCCAGGAACCTAGCATAGAGGCTTAGCCCCACCTGGCAAAAGCTATACGCCTTCAAGAGATTATTTTCGCATCTGTTGTGGGACACCTGAATATTGTAGAACACGAGTGAGCAGTACTTAGATCAGAAGCTACTGATAGATCTTGGGGTGATTTGCAGGGTTTCTTATTTATTTTGACTTCATAAAATGTATTTACTGCTTGATTGTTATAACAAACGAATTACACAAACTGGTTTACAAAAACAATAAATGAGTAACAATCAAGACATTCAACAAAATTAAACCAGCAACAAATTAACTAGCTGTTGTTTCCCTTTTATTATAGGTCCTTTGATATTAATGTTAGCTCTTAATGTCGCTGCCATATAGGACATCAGGCCAAACGGGAAGGCCTAGCATGTTGAACTAGGCCCGGGGGTGAGATTCCCCATAACTGCCTCATACAGGCAAGATTCAGGTAGGTAGGCATGTTGGTGTGACACAGTCTAAATAAATAAAAATTAAAAAATTGTCCAGTAACACCTTAGAGACCAGCTAAGTTTGTTCTGGGTATAAACTTTCATGTGCATGCACACTTCTTCAGATACACTGAAACAGAAGTCACCAGACCCTTATATATAGTGGGACAGTGGGATGGGGGTTTTCTCAGAAGGGTAGGAGGAGATGGGTGATTGACTCAATGGGTATGGCAAACCTGTTGACTATTGTTAATGACCGCAATTAGTCCTACAGGAAAAAGCAAGGGACCAAAAATATCTTTAGCATATGTAATGAGACAAGAATCCAGTATCTCTATTCAGACCAGGTCTGAATAGCTTATACCCAAAAGCTTATACCCAGAACAAACTTAGTTGGTCTCTAAGGTGCTACTGGACAATTTTTATTTATTTACACAGGCAAAAAAGAGAGGCCCCCACATTCAAGAATCCCTGCTTGGCTGTCCGGGTTCAGGACCTGCTGTGGGCTTGAACCCTGACAAGCACCATGCTCAGCTGACCAGCATGTTTTGACTAAAGAGGAGATTTGGAACTGAACTGTTTTCTCAGGACTCAGGACAAAGCAGGGAGAATAAATAATTAGGCAATAAGATGTGACAGGCTGCACACTGCTGTGGTATTATTGGCCTCCTCAGGCAAAGTTCTGAGGCATAAATCCAGCATATATGTCACTTCAGCTAGCTGAGAAGAACGATAATCTCCCAAAGAATGTCCTTTTTCAGGTGTGCCTGACCTGAGCTAATAGGAAACAACAGTGATGACCTTAGAACAAACCCCGCGATGCACTGCGACATCTCATGGACATTCATTCACGTGGGTCTTACTGAAGTAACAGGGCAGTATCGCTTTACCCTTTAGTGTAAATAGCTGAAATCATATTACAGTCATATGTGACAGAGACTTCAGGTGTAATATCCTTAGTGTTCTTTGGTTCAAGTAATTGCTGTGATGGCTAAATAAAAACCCAAGACTACAGTGAATCTGAGTCAACTATTCACAGTTTCACAAACAGTGGTCAGCCAAAATTGGCAGCTGCCACAACTCTCTATATTTTCTGACATACAAAGGCTTGTCTCTGACTTGCTGAGCTTTGGAGACATTCACAGTATCCGAGATGCAAATTATAGCTTTAGTCCCCCTAACTTGAGCCCCCTGCAATCTTTTTTCTTTTCTTTTTTTGGTAGGAGGTGAAGGTTTAAAACTTCCTTCTCCCCGTGATTCCCCTTGTGCTGCTCAGCTGAATGGACTTTCAAGAAGGAAGGAAGGAAAGGAGGAGAAAGGAGGAAGGAAAGTTTTTTGGGGGGAGCTGCATCCCTTCTTAACTGATCTGTGGGAGAGTATGCTATGGGCCATGTGTGAATAAGCAGTGGGTCAGAAGCAAGTCAGGGAGTGCAGATCGCAAACTGCTGAATTAGGGATAGGGGGGAAAGCATGTTCCATGGAGACTATGCATACTGACTGGAGAATGTGCATATTGCCCAAAACATACACAAAAGCAGTTGAAATATGCATATTCATGAAGGCCTGTTGGAGATTATGCATACTGGCCAGAGAATGTACAGAATTCAGTCAAGATCTGCGCATTCCCCAAAGCCTGTTGGGAATTATGGATAATGGTTGTGAGAATGTACAAAAATCCTTCCCCCCCCCCCCCATATGTAGGAGAAGAAAAGATCTCATTCAGTGTAAATGATATGTACAACTCTAAATAAAAAGGAATGTATATCATGTAAATACTATTACCAATATAAATATAGCATAAATACAATTACCAATAAGTTATTTTCTAATAATGTTCCTATGCTATGTAGGTGACTATCTTCTTGTGCCTTATGGTGCAGATACATGACACACATTCCTCAATCTAGCTTTATCATATTCACCAGCTCTCAGATCCTCAAAATTCAATCTTTTATGCTAGGAGTTCTTTTTTCCAGTGGGAATATTTCCATATTTTCTAATAAACTTTTTTTTTACATAAGCAAACAATTTAACAAGTGGGTTTGTAAGTAAATCATAATTTAAGCAGTGGGTCTCTAAGTAAATTGTATCTGGTTATAACATTAATTTTGTTTCTTACAAACCCCCAAATGGACCTGATTTGGGGGCTGATGCCCTCCCATTTCATCACTATTTTCCTTTATGTTTTAAACATCCTGCCCTCAAATACATTATTTATCTTAATCAGCCATTATTTATCTTAATCATTACTATACCTACTGATAGATTGTCTAACAAAGATGTATCTCCTATTTCCTCATTATAACAAACCATAAAAAATGGTGACTCAATTTTCTCTTGTATACCTGTTCTCAACATTGACCATATTCTTTGACTTTTATCAGTTCTTTGTGTATAAATACTATTTTTGTCTTGCATGCAGAATAAGTAGTTTTCTTAAATCTATGCACTAAATACAAATAAAACAGGATTCTCCAGGGAACCCTTCCTTGATATCAAGGTAAAGGACCCCTAGACGGTAAAGTCCACTCAAAGGCTATGGGGTTGCGGCACTCATCTTGCTTTCAGGCCGAGGGAGCCAGTGTTTGTCCACAGACAGCTTTCCGGGTCATGTGGCCAGCACGACTAAACCGCTTCTAGTGCATGAAGGACCGTGACAGAAGCCAGAACACAGTAACCGCCGTTTACCTTCTTGCCACAGTGGTACCTATTTATCTACTTGCACTGGTGTGCTTTTGAACTGCTAGGTTGGCAGGAGCTGGGACAGAGCAATGGAAGCTCATCCCGTTGTGTGGATTCGAACTGCCGATCTTATGATCAGCAAGCCCAAGAGGCTCAGTGGTTTAGACCACAGTGCCACCCACTCCTTTATATACCAAGGTAGCATACATAAGACACTCTCATTTTATCTCCACAACAAGTTAGGCTGAGAGATGGTGCAAACCTAGTCACAAAGTGAGCTTCATGGCTGGACAACGATTTGAACCCTATATATATTCACAGTTATATCTCAGGATAAAGTTCAGATGTTATTTGGAAAGAGGTGTGTGTTTGATTAAAAATGAACCAGAAGGGGAAAGGGGGCTTGGAAAGTGGATTGTTTCCCAGGATCAAATGAAA